AATAATAATAATAATAATAATAATAATAATAATAATAATAATAATAATAATATATTCTCTGATCAGTCGCTGTAAAGTAACTGGATGCTGTCACATTTTAATGTACTAAATAAATACTTTTGCATATTTCCCACCCTGAACCTGTTCGATACGCTGCCCTCCACCCCGGACAGAAAAGAGCTGCACCTTTTGGGCTGTTGCCATGGATACCGAGGAGAAAACAAGGCAGGAGAACAAAGAGTCAGGGTGCACGCAGGGCATGACTTCAGATTATAAATTCAGCACAAACTCACATACGTCTGGTTTTCTGATGCAGTTTGAATTATTTTTTTTGCGCATTTCTCCATTGATTGAGAGAGTTCTCAACTTTTTATAAAGTTAAACGTTGAGGCCATGACAAAACTCACTTTTTGCTGAAGCTGGGAGTCTTCCAGTTAGTTCTGTCTCTGTCCTCTAAAGCGCATGAGGACAGACATCATGTCTTCTGCTGAGGAGAGGAGTATTTCTACACTTTGAGAAAGTGGTTAAAACTGTGGCGACCGTTTCTGCACAGTGTGATAGTATGAGATCTAATGAGTTGTGTTAGCACACAGAGCATGTGTTGGGGATGACTCTGAGCTACTGTCACACCAAATCTTAGCTCAGTTTCCATAAAACTGACTGAGGTCGAGTTGTTTTTGTCTTTGATGATGTTGCTTAGCTGTGGCAGCCATTTTAAATGTCCACCTTTCTGTGGCGGGTGATAGCTTTAAAACTGAGATAAATGCTCTTCACCAGATCTGTTTAATATGACATACAGCACACAGACATCATTATTTTAACAAAAAGAACATGGAAGTTGGATTTATTATGTGACAACCCCCTGCTTTACCCCACAATGACTTGTAGGGTCAAAAAAATAAATTATTAACTTTAAATTACTGAAACCTTTGGTCAGAACTAACTGTGTCAGGGTGATTGGGGAGGTTTCCTCCCTTTTTTCTAGCTCATAATTGTGTCAAGTTTGCATTAACATCTTCTAACGAGGATATTTTAGAGGAAGTCCACTTGTGCTGCTTAAAAGCATCTTTGTGGAATCAGATAAGGAAAGTGCATCAGAACGGCTTTAACTCAGTGCAGTGAGGTTTTATGAACAAACCACTGAGGACTGACAGCTCCCTGCAGGAGATGATGATGCCTTGGTTGTTTACTGAGGAGTCAACGTTAGCAGGAGTCACAAGTGTCAAACTGAGGGGACCGGCTGCTTTCATACACCTGACCCGCGTCAACTGGATTCTGCAGGTGGCAGGACTCCGCTGCAGAACTTCCTGGGGATCGCCGAGCAGCACATGGGCCCAAACAACGGGGTGAGTGAGAAGTGCATGTCATCTCAGAAAACCTCAGGGTTTTTCTCACGTCTCAGCCCACTGATGTGTGACCGTCTTAGATTATCATAAAAAACATAACGCTGCACACCAAAGTTTTAAACATTGATTTTATGGGATCTGTTCGCACCAAAGTCAAGCTCATTATTTGTGAAACTGATATTGCCACTTTGTGTTTGTGCTTTTGATTAGCTGTGACAGCCATGTTGAATCGAACTGACACTAAAAATGAATCAGTTGTAGATTCACATTCAACAATTACCTACTGAGAGTTTTATTAAAATGCATCCAGTAGTTTATGATATTTTGCTCAAAGACTCAGGGCAGCACGGTGGTGCAGTTGGTAGAGCTGCTGCCTCTCAGCGAGCAGGTCGCCTTGGTTCAAATTCCAGTCCAGGGGCCATTCTGGGTGGAGTTTGCATGATCTCTCTGTGCGTGTGGGTTTTCTCTGAAATCTGGTTTCCTCCCACAGACCAAAAACATGCATGTTAGGCTGATTGGTAACTCTAAATTGTCCCTAGATGTGTGAGAGAGAGTGAATGGTTGTTTGTCTCGTTTGTCTCTATGTGTCCCTGTGATTCATTCAACTTTTATTTATACAAGTTAATCCCCATTGAGCCTCTGGGACTCATTTACAAGAGGCCTGAATTTTATTTATTTTATTTTTATTTTTTTAACATAGAGTGATTACAACAATGACAACAATAGACAATCATAAAAGATGCATACAAAATTAATTTTTTAACAAGTTAAAATAAAATGGCAAACAAAAGGACAGTCAAAAGGAAAAATAGCGATAAAACAGCTGGATTATAAGGCGGTGTAGAAAACTAAACGCAGGAACATGTCTGCATTGGTTTTTCCAAGGAACTTAACAGATGTTTAAAGTCACTTTATAGAGAGGTCAAGGTCGAGAGCTTCAGATCTTTTTGTAAGATATTCCAGGAAACAGGAGCGGATTAGGAGAAGACCCTTTTGCCAAGTTCAGTCCGCAATGAGGGAACACTGCAGGTAATAATGTCCTGAGAGTGCATGCTACAGCTGCACTCACGCAGAGACATAAATGGTAAATGGACTGTACTTACATAGCGTCTTTCTATCTTATCAAGACACTCAAAGCTATTTATAATAATCTGAGTCCTAATTTACCCATTTTTACAGCACTCTACTAGATCTCTAAAAAGCTAATTGAACAAATCATTCTAAAGAGACTAATCAGAACTTTATCACATTCATACACCGACAGGACACGCATCGGAGGCAATGAGGGGTTCAGTGTCTTACCCAGGGACACTTTGCCATGTGACTGCTGGTGGATTTGAACCCCCAACTCTTGCATTGGAGGACAACTGCTCGAACCACTCAGCCACTGCTGCCCTCGTGTAAGAGGAGATGTATGAAGGCAACAGATCAAGAAGTGATTTAAAGATGAAAATGTACCAGTGGGATAGTCTGCGTGAAGTTAGTGATGTCCAGTTAACCAGTGAATACAGGGTGCAGTGGTGGATACAATAGTTACAGCCAGTTATGAATCTTAGTGCACCATGATAGACAGCATCCAACATCTGCAGGGTTCTTGTAGGAGCGTTCATGTAAATAATGTCACCGTAGTCATCGGAGGGAAGGAAACTCACAGTTACAAGGCATTTCCTAGCATTCAGAGTTAGACAGGATCTGTTTCTGGAAAATAAACCCAGTTTAACTTTCAGTTTCCTTACTAGGTTTTCCACATGAAGCTTAAAAGAGAGATGCGAATCAACCAAGATACCCAAATATTTATTGGAATCAACAAACTCCATTGGGACATCATTTGAGGATAAAATCAGAGGAAGAATTGCTGGGACGGACTTCCTGTTTGAAAAAAGCATCCCTTCGGTTTTATCGGCATTTAGGACAAGTTTGAGACAGAACAAATTTGACTGGATAATGTCGAAGACGGATTGCAAAGGCTGGAAATCCTTAGCATCTATTTTAGATCGACAATAAACAACTGTGTCATCAGCATAGAAATGTATGGATGCATCAGGGATGCTCTGACTACATTACCTATGTAGATTGTAAAGACGGTGGGTTCTAAGACTGAGCCATGTGGTACACCATTGTTGACTGTTAAATAACTGGAGGAAGGACCATTATGTTGAACACATTGCCTCCGAATCTGAAAGACAGTTAGAGAACCAACCAATGGTGTGTTCTGAGAAACCAATTTCTGAGAGCGTATGACAAAAGATGTTATGATCCACAGTGTCAAAAGCTTTAGACAGGTCTAAGAAAAGTGCAGCACAATAATCCTTAGCATCCAGTGCTTCAACAACGTCATTAAGAACCTTCAGTGAAGCAGTCGTTGTGCTGTGTTGTTTCCTGAAACCAGATTGATGTGGAGGTAAGATGTTAAATGAGTCCAGGTAATTTTTGATTTGAGAATTGATCAATTTTTCTAGAACCTTGTCTAAAATGCGGAGTTTAGAGATTGGCTGATAGTTGTTCAGTGAGGTGGGGTCACCTCCCTTCAGCAAAGCAAGAACAAAGGCTGTTTTCCAAGTGTCTGGAATGGAGTTTTGGCTTATGGACAGGTTAAAGATGTGGGTCACAGGGACTGTGATGATATGAGCAGCCAGCCTTAAGAAATAAGGTGGAAGTTCATCTGGTCCTTCAGATTTTTTAGAATCTAGACCTTTTTAACAGATGGACTGGAGACCTGTCCAGGGTGTCCCTGTGATAGACTGAAGACCTGTCCAGGGTGTCCCTGTGATGGACTGGAGACCTGTCCAGGGTGTTCCTTTGATGGACTGGAGACCTGTCCAAGGTGTCCCCTGCCTCTCGCACAATGACTGCTGGACATGGGCACCAGTGACCTCTGCGACCCGAAAAAGAAGAAGTGGGTAAAGATAATGGATGGATGGACAAACACTCAAAAGCAGATATGTCTTCCTACTTTAATCCAATATAAATGTTGTGGAAGGACCTGAAGTGAGCAGTTAATGTGAGGAAACCCCCCAACATTTCAGACTTGAAGCTGTTCTGTACGGAGGAATGGGCTAAAATCCCTCCAAGCCGGTGTGCAGGACTGATCAGCAGTTATTGGAAACGTTTAGTTGCAGTTTTTGCTGCACAGTGGGAGGTCACACCAGACAATGAAAGCAATACGTACCCGAAGCAGTGCTGCAGTCCTGAAGCAGAGGGAAACACACAATGTGGAAGAAAACAAATATGGCTACAATTTCCATCCATCCATTATCTTTTACCCGCTTCTTCCATTTTGGGTCACGGGGGTCGCCGGTGCCCATGTCCAGCAATCACTGTGCGAGGGGCGGGGTACACCCTGGATGGGTCGCAAGTCCATCACAGGGACACAGAGACAAACGAGACAAACAACCATTCACTCTCTCACTCACACCTAGGGACAATTCAGAGTTACCATTGAGCCTACCATGCATGTTTTTGGTCTGTGGGAGGAAACCGGAGTACCCGGAGAAAACCTACGCATGCACGGAGAGAACATGCTAACTCCACCCAGAAAGGCCCTCGGACCGGGATTTGAACCAGGGACCTGCTCGCTGAGAGGCAGCAGCTCTACCAGTTTCGCCACTGTGCTGCCCATGGCTACAGTTTGATGTAGACATTTATGTATGTGTAACAAAAAGAGCCATGGCAGTAAAAATGTGTATAAAATCATAACATTTCAAAATGTCAGTACAGCCAAACAACCGACAGACAACTTTCTGTGACCCGTTTAAACTTTGAATTATGTTTCTGCTGTGATGTTCACCTGAGCGGTGGAGCTCCAAAGAGTGCTGCACTATCTATGTGTTCTGCTAAAATCCCATTTATCTCTAGTAGATTTTTTATACTTTTTTGTTTTACTAATTTGGGTTACTTTGTATTGATGTCAAAAGACTCCAGAGGCTATTGGTGGTTGAGCAGAACATCATTGTGTTTAGTGTTTCAAAGTTACTCATGACATACAGATTTCTTCTTTGTATTTTTTGGACTTGCATCCTTAAATAATTCTTGGTTGTTATGCAGACATTCATTATTCATTCATTGCTTACTTCCCCCCAGGCTCTGGTGACTCAGATGTCGACCCCGGCAGTGACGAACCCTGCGGCGCTGACGGCCGAGGAATACTTCAACCCTGGCACCATGCAGATGCTGAGGGACATTGGCCACCCGTGCCAGCTCACCACCAAGACCCAGAGGTGACTCCGACTGACAGGAAGGCGCACATGCAGCAGAGTCACCCCTGAAAACTTACGGCAAAGTGTCAGAGCTGACAGGATGATGGGCGTAGAATAGTTGGTGTAAAAATCTGTAAGCCATGACGGCTGACCACAGCACTCTTGAGGTGACTGAAGGGGACAAACACGTATTTATCAATCCAGAGTGAAGGCTTTTCGAAGCTGGTGCACTGGAGCATTTAGACCTCTGCAGTCTGCCACACAGCTCAAGATGGATGAGTCATAGCACTTTATTTGCAAACCAGTAAATCCAAATTACAAAATGTGAATTCCAGGAATCCTGCAGAGGATAAAGGTCTAGCGGCCATTGAAGGAGTGCACATTGCTCACTGCCTGTCAAACCAGAGTTTTAGACTGAAATCATCAAATATTGGTATATGATGCTGTTGTAGCCATTTTGGTCAATCCTTAAAAATAACGTAATGCACATTCATGTAATGTTGCAAGATGTTACTGAAAGTCAGCCGAGACAAACCAGGGTATATGTGTACAAGGAGCAGAGGTCACAAAGGTGCAGGACTTCAAGTACTTAGAGTCCACAGTCCAGGAAAATTGGGGAGTGTGGTAAAGAGGTGAAGAAGAGAGTCCAGGCAGGGTGGAGTGGCTGGAGAAAAGTTTACAAGAGACCATCTTTGGTATATGAACTGGAGACAGAGGCATGGAAAAATACAGGAGAAAGAACTGGAAGAGGCAGAAAGGAAGATGTTGAGGTTCTCCTTAGGAGTGATGGGAATGAGATCATCAGAGGTACAGCACAGGCTGAATAACTGGGAGATAAAGTTAGAGAGGCCAGACTGAGATGGTTTGGACATGTCCAGAGGAGGGACAGTGGGTATACTGGTAGAAGGATGTTAGAAATGCAGCTGCCAGGAAAAAGACAAAGAGGAAATATATGGATGCAGTTAGAGAGGACATGGAGGAAGTTGGAGAGAGGACAGAGGATGCAGAGGACAGAGTGAGGTGGAGGAGGATGACTCGCTGTTCGCTGAAGAGGGAACAGCTGAATGAAACATAATTTTGGCTAGTATCAATTAGCTGTGGTGGCCATATGTAATTAGATTGACAAAAGTTAATCAGTTGTGGATTGAATTATTACCTAGTCAAAGGTTCATAGAAACCCATCCATGTTTGTGAATTATTTTGCTAACAAACCCATGCAAACAGGTAAAACCACAGAATGTTGCTTCTGGCAGCGAAACATAGAGGAGTCCAAGGTTTTAAATGAAATGGAACAATGAGCTAAAGCATTAATGGGTGTCTGAGCAGCTGCAGTCTGTCTCATCAGCCTGTCTGACGTGTCCCGTCGTCCTCCGACTGTCGATCTGTTTGTCCTTATCACTTACTGTTTCCATCAACCTCAGCTGGTAAATAAAAAGCGACAGGACAAGATGAGGATGAATTCATGGAGGAGGCAGAGCTGCCTCTCTGTCGCCTCTTCATTATCGCTCCAATTAGACAATAACAATTGATCGTACCGGGTCTGAACATGAGTCAGCAGCTTGTGGACAGGCGCTGTTAGCTGATGGAATCAATGTCTCTTTGTCCCTCTGTCCAAGAAACTGTCCCATCGAGGGCGCAAACGTCTTTGATTATGCAGAAGTTAGAAACAGACGGCGTTGGTCAACAAACTCTGTCGTTGTCTCTTCACTCTGTGTTTTCGTTCCCAGGTTTAAAACCAAGCTGTGGTTGTGTGAGTCCCATCCTCTGTCCCTGGCAGAACAAGTGGTGCCCATCATCGACCTCATGGCCATCTCCAACGCTCTGTTCGCCAAGCTGCGCGACTTCATCACGCTGCGGCTACCACCTGGCTTCCCCGTCAAGATCGGTGAGCGCCAGACTTTGGCTGATAAACCAGACGAGAGAATGACAATTAACTCAGAACAATCCCAATTTCTCTGAAAGTCCACCGTAAATGCTATGGGCTGAATAACTTTGCTGAAATTACAGATTTAAATAAATTGTTAAAATCCAAACAACCACAACACAAGCTAAAATTGGCTTAAATCTGAAAAAATGTAGCCTAAAGTCATAACAGAAAAGTAGTAGCTAAATGCTAAAATTAGCCAAGCATTAGTGAAAAAAATAAATGTGCCTAATTAGTGACTGAAAGCTAAATAAAGAAAAATGTTTGCTAAAATTTGCTAACCTGTCATTAAAAGCTGCAGTTAAAACAATCATAGCTAAAAGATAAATTTACTAAATAAGTTGCTAAAAGCTAAATATAAAAACATGTAGCTAAAAGCTAAAAAAATTACTAAACTGTAAATATAAAGCTGCAGTTAACAAAACAATAATTAAAAGTTATATGTAGAAAAGTTGTAGCTAAAAGTTGCAATTAAGAAAAGTGATAGCTAAAAGCTTTATGTAAATAGTACAACTGTTGCTAATTGCTAAAATTAGTAAAAATTACCTACAGATTAGCTAAAGGTTTAAATTATAGTTGAGTTTTAGCTAAAAGCCAAATTTGGATAATTATTGGATAATAGCAATATATAGAAAATTTATAACTAAATGCCAAATTTGGTAAACTGTAAACAAAAGCTTCAGTTAGCCAAGCAGTAGCTAAAAGCTATATGTATCAAAGTCATAGCTTAAATCTAAATTTAGCTAAACTTTAACTGAAAACCCAAAGAAACAAAAAAAAAAAAAGGCAGGATTAGAGTTGCTTTATTGAATCAGATAATTTATTTATTTATTTTAAGGAATTGAAGTGATCTGAATGGACGGGTTAGTGAAGATGCTTTAGGTAAATAAAGTTAAATAATTCAAAAGCGTAAAAGTTACATAAACTAAAAGTCATGGCAAACTTTTCCTAAAAGAGCAGAAAATTCTGGAATATTTATTTATTTTTACCACAGCCCTCTGTGTGGAGCAGAGAGCTGCCATCTAGGGCGTCCAGGGGAGTAGATGGTGGGGGTTAAGGGCCTTGCTCAAGGGCCCAGAGTGGGTCAGATGAGGGTTGAGGCAGATGTGGATGCTTAACTTATCCCACCCACATTTTGATGTTGTCGGTACCGGGAGTTGATCCGGCGATCTTCTGATCACAGCCCCACCTTCTCTAACCTCTGCACCACCTATAGAAAAATTATGTTATATAAATGGTTAAAATAGCAGAAAGTATGGGAGTGGTGTGGGAGTGGTGGTGCAAAGGTTAGAGAAGGTGGGTCTGTGATCAGAAGATCGCCAATTCAACTCCTGGTACCATCAACATCAAAATGTGGGTGGGATAGGTGAAACACCCACACCTGCCTCCACCCTCATTTGCCACACTCTGGGCCCTTGAGCAAGGCCCTTAACCCCCACCATCTGCTCCACACAGAGGGCTGTGGTAGCTCGGTGGTCTGTGGTTGCATCAGGAAGGGCATCCGGCGTAAAAATAATCGCCAAGTCTTCGTGCGACTTAGTTTGCTGTGGTGACCTCTGAAGAAGGGAGCAGCTGAAAGAAAAAAGTAGCACAAAGTATGCCGGAGCACTTTGACTGAAGAACAGAAAGATGATAGAGCAGAAACGATGAACGGTAAAACTACAGAGTGAATGCTGACTCAGCAGTAAACAGGTGAGATGAAAGAGACAAAATGATGTGAGAGACGGAGTGAAACAGACACTGATGATCCATCTGCCCCCCCACCCCCACCCCCAACTCCCCTCAGAGATTCCTCTGTACCACATCCTGAACGCCAGGATCACCTTCAGCAACCTGAACGGCTGCGAGGAGGGGCCCGGGGTTCGTTCTGACAACGACATCGGGATAGATGGGGACGGACAGAGGGACACCCAGAGGACAGGCACCGCTTCGCCAGGCAGCGACTCCTCCAGCGTCTCCAGCTCCAGCTCCACCAGTAAGCCCCCACTCCCACAAACAGCCCAACCCACCTCCATCAGTCTCAACTGCAGAACGTCCTGTTACAGATTCATCGCCGGCCGATGAAATGGTTTACTTGTCTGCGGGTGCGATTTTGTTTCTGTTAGCAAAATATCACATCAGTCACAGATTTTATTGGCACTCTCAGACGTTAATCATTGAATTTACAACTATTTATAACAACACCTTTAGAGTCAGTCTGAATTAAGATGGCTGCCTCAGCTAATTGACATTAGCACATAAACAGTCATAACTCAGTCTTATGGATACTGAGCTAACATCTGGTGTGGTAGTAGCTGAGTCATCTCCAACACATAATCTGAGCACTGAGATCTGGTCATTCTGTGAGAAAGTTTATAACTCATTTAACATACTCTGGTGTGGATGACAGCAGGTGATATTCTGACAAAGACTTTAAAAACGTGATGTTTTATATTTTAGGCTTTTCCTCCATGGTTTTGCTCTTTGTGTAAATGCTTATTAAGCATTCACACTATTGTGATCCTGTTTATATTTATTATTGCTACTTTATCTATTCCATACATTTTTTATTCTTGTGTTATTTCAACAATTGGGAACAACTGTGCTCTTTCCACTTCATTCTGGTAATTTAAGCTTCTTTCTGCTTCTTTAGCTACTATTCAGCTGGTTTTTTTTGCAAATTTCTTTTTCAGATAATTTCCACTTTTTGTGCAAATTTCTGCTTCATTGGGCCTAATTGGGCACAATTGTGCTCTCTCCACTTCCTTCTGGCCATTTAAGCTTCTTTCTGCATTTTTAGCCAATTTCTGCTTTTTTTCCCAGATAATTTCCACTTTTTGTGCTACATTCTGCTTCTTTCAATCTAATTGGGCAAACATGTTTTTAATGCTTTCGTGTGCCATTTTAAGCTCGTTCTACCTTTTCAGCTACCTTGTGAGCATTTAGTTAATTCAGTCGTTTTTAGCAAATTCTTCTGCAATAAGCATTCACACTGCATTTTTGCATAAAATGCAATTTCTCTAGTTTATTCTGGATCTCAGTTTAAATTTGCCTCTAAGCTGGGGGTAAGTGAAATTATTTGTTCATCAGCTGTGAAGGACCTGTTCCCTGCTCCTGTCAGCATCAGTGCTGTGACAGCACTCATATTGAATAGTTTGTTAAGTTATTTTGTTGTTGTAAATAACACTCCCTCCCATCTCTTTGCCCTTTGCCCCCCTTCCCGTGTGAAACAGTGTCGTGCCGAGCCGGAGAGATCCCCCCGTGTGTGTTCGAGCCCCCGCCCAGGTACACCATGCAAGGAGGCAAACAGCGAGACAGCATGAGGGGGGAGGAGGAGGAAGACCTGCTGCAGTTTGCGATACAGCAGAGTCTGCTGGAGGCCGGATCTGAGTACGATCAGGTGACCTGACTGAGGAAGTCCTCGGCTGCTCTGCTAGCTGCCACACACACTGACATTTTCCATCCTTTAAAAAGTCTACACCGACAGCGTAATGTGTATTAATAACTAGATACAGGAACACAACTTGAAAGTTGAAGCCACAGCAGTTTGAGCGCCCCCCCGTAGGCTAACTGCAGTATAAGTATAGGTCCACTGAAACAGAAGAGGAATTTTTTAACAAATAGGATGGCTAAAAGGAAAAGGTAACAAAACAAAAAAACCAGCTAGATTCCAAGACAAATGTAGAAAACTAAAAACAGGAACATGTCTGCATTGGACCCTGCCAGGTGTCCAACAGATTCTTAAAGACACTTAGAGCGGTCAAGGTCGAGAGCTTCAAATCTTTTTGTAAGATATTCCAGGAAACAGGAGCGGAGTAGGAGAAGGCCCTTTTGCCTAGTTCAGTCCTCATTGAGGGAACACTGCAGGTAATAATGTCCTGAGAGCGCACTCCGTAGCTACACTCACGCAGAGACATGTAGGAGGAGATGTATGAAGGCAACAGACCAAGAAGTGATTTAAAGATGAAAATGTACCAGTGAGAGAGTCTGTGTGAAGTTAATGATGTCCAGTTAACCAGTGAATACAGGGTGCAGTGATGGGTACGATAATCACAGCCAGTTATGAATCTTAGTGCACTATGATAGACAGCATCCAACATCTGCAGGGTTCTTGTAGGAGTGTTCATGTAAATAATGTCACCGTAATCAATGGAGGGAAGGAAAGTCACAGAAACAAGGCGTTTCCTAGCATTCAGAGTTAGACAGGATCTGTTTCTGAAAAAGAAACCCAGTTTAATTTTCAGTTTCTTTATCAAGTTTTCCACATGGAGCTTAAAAGAGAGATGTGAGTCGACCAAGATACCCCATTATTTATAGGAATCAACAAACTCAATGGGGACACCATTTGAGGATAAAATCGGAGGAAGAACTGCTGGGACCAACTTCCTATTTGAAAAAAGCATCCCTTTGGTTTTGTCGGCATTTAGGACAAGTTTGAGGCGGAACAAATCTGTCTGGATGTTGTTGAATGCAGATTTCAAAAGCTGGAAAGCCTTAACAACAGTTTTAGCTCGACAATAAACAACTGTATCATAATTTCCCTGACTAAAATATTTAAATACACCTCAAATATTTGTTTCAGTGGTTTTGTTGACTGTTGTTGGGTCAGATAGTTCTCACCTCGAGGCTGTATGCTCAAACATTCTGTTTGCTTACATGTTTAGTGGTAATTGTTAATTTGATGCTTAAAAACCACATCGTGGTTGTGTGTCAGTATTTGGACATGGATTACAGCCCCACATACCAACTACACAGACTCTGGCTTCAATAATACAACATGGCAGGCCTGTGAAACAGATAATATGGCTTTAAGCTGCTGGTTCACACTCAGCCACGCAACACCCCACCCCCACCCCCACCCACACACACATCACATACGAACACTTGCCATGTTTCCAACAACACATTGGACCAAAAACAATACACACTCTGATAAACTGAGTTATTTCACTTTCTCACTAACAACAAAAACCAGCAAAGTGCCATGATGGTGTAGAGGTAGGGCAGTAGATCTGGTACACAAAAGTCCCAGGTTCGATCCCCAGCCATTCACACATGTAGTGTTTTTGAGCAAGACACCTAATCCCTAATTGCTCCCTGGGTGCTTACATAGCTGCCCACTGCTCCACCTGGGTGTATTTCACATGTGATGGGTTAAATGCAGAGAACTAATTTCACCATTGTATGGTAACATATAATGATGACAATCCCAGACTTCCCTTTCCTTTATTTGTTTAAGTAATTTACTTATTGTCTTTTAAAAACATAAAAGTATAAAATACCGAGTTTCTGCTGTGACAAAGATAGCAGATCAGCCACTCAGATGGTGGACGGATGGATGGATAGATCATATACTGTAGACCTAAAGATGGAGCTCAGGGCCGTTAATGCTCTTGTCTTTGAACCCCCGAGTTTCAAGTTCAAGTTCAAGTCAATTTCATTGTCATTCACATCACATGTGGTGCATGAGGTGGAACGAAATTGTGTACTCAGGGTCCCAGTTACACCCAACAATAGCAAAAATATAAAGTGTAAAAAGAAACAGTACAAGGATCTAAGATATACGCTAAACATTAATAATGTAAAACAACACGGCGTAATAACAGCAGCCTGAACATGAGTCTGCGTGAGCAGATGGGTATGAATGAATACAGCATGAGATAATCAGCAGCATGAGATCAGCAGCATGGATAAGTCACATATCACCAGTTAAAGTGGCATTACAGTGATTTTTTTCCTTACATTCATTATCCTGGTTAGGGATTTATGAGTCTACTTCAGGGCAGAAGCTGTTCCTCAGTCATTCATTCATTCAACCTTTATTTATGCAGGTTAGTCGCACTGAGTCATGAGGACTTATTTACAAGAGAGACCTGTTTTAGACAGATAACATATAAAGTAGACAATAATAATTCAACAACAAAAAATTTAAATCAAATAAAAGAAGTTGTAAACACTGTCAAATCAAGATGCCATATAAAACAAAGTAAAATACAAAAAAACAAGAACATATTTGCTTTGATGTTTCTATTGACATTATCAAATGTTTAAAATCCCTTAAAGAGATCAAGGTGGACAGCTTCAGTTCTTGCTGCAAGGTGTTCCAGGTTACAGGAGCAGAGTAAGAAAAGGTCGAGTTCAGTGTGCACTGAGGGGACACTGCATGTAATGAATCCTTGAGAGCGCACGCTGTAACTGCACTGACGACGTGTGTGACATGTTAGAGGAGCTAAAAGAAGGCAACAGACCAGATTTATAGATGAAAATGAACCAGTGTGAGAGCCTACGTGTAGATAATGATGACCAGCTGACCAAGGAGTATGGAGTGCAGTAATGGGTGTGGTAGTTACAACCAGTTATGAATCTTAGCGCACCATGGTAGACAGCATCCAACATCTGCAAGGAGCTGGCAGGAACATTCATGTACTTTGTAAATAGTGTCACCATAATCAATGGCCAGTAGGAAAGTAGCAGCTACAAGGTGTTTTCTGGCATTCAAAGATAAACAAGATCCATTTATGAAAAGAAACCCAGTTTCAGTTTCAGTTTCTTTATCAAGCTTTCAACATGAGAGATGTGCATCAATTAAAATCCCAAGGCATTTGTAAGAATCCACAAATTCAATAGGAACACCATGTGTGGATTAGACTAGAGGAAGAACTGCTGGCACCAGCTTCCTGTTAGAAAATAGCATCCCTTTGGTTTTATCAGCATTTAGCACCAGTTTGCGACAGAACAAATCTGACTGGATGTTGTCACATGTAGACTGTAGACGCTGGAAAACCTTAGCAACTGTGTTAGCTCGGCAATAAACAACTGTGTCGTCAGCATAGAGATGCAAGGAGGCATCAGGAATGTTTTGACATCTGAGATTTGACATCTGAGATCCTGGTCCTTAGGGGTTAATTTTTTTCATTCAACCTTTATTTATACAGATAAATCACATTGAGCCTCGAGGACTCATTTACAAGAGAGTCCAACCCCAGAGATCCTGGTCCGTTCTTTGAACCTCAGGGATCCTGGTCCTGATGGACTTTTTTCTGGGATACAAAGACAGAGCTATAAATAGGCTCAGGAAGACTGGTCAGAGACAAGCTCAGCTAGAGAAGAGCAGGGAACAGGATGGGGGTTCCTGCTGAGGATTTGTACCGTACGGTTAAAGGCTGATGGTGGGAGCGGCGTCAGATCTGGTGCTGACAGAGGTGATGAGACTTTTAATTACAGTACAGCAGGAAGCAGGTCCAGAGTGAGAGGATTACTCTACCGCTCCAACATTTACAGTTAAAGTCAAACTCGGCAGCTTTTCTTACAGTTTCTATAAATTCACAATCAGAAAATCCTTTTGGACTTGGATTAATTTTTAAGATGAACCTATGAAGATTTATTGCACCTGCTGCTGAAATGCAATAATGAACAGTACTTTGTCTGTTGCTAAAATTTCTCTTCAAATTTGTGATCAATTTTAATGAAACTAGATCAATTACTTTTCTCGCAAAAATGCAGCGAATACTTATTGTTGAATGATTTTTGCTGAAAACTGCTGAAAAGGTTTCATCAACAATTTCCTGTAGGATCAATAAAGTTTTATGTTATCTTAACGCTCAACTGTTAATTCAAGTTGAATTTGAAGAGCTGACAGGACAGCTGAATGGATCAGGATAACGCTGAAATTAGCCAAAAGAAGGGGAATGGAGCATTAAAACTAGCTGACCTGTGGCCTTGACCTTTGAACCCTGTGAAACTAAAATACAAAAAAAAAGAAATTTAAACTAAAAGTTGAAGCTAGCAAAAAGGAGCCAGAAGTAGCAAAATAACTCTTAATTTAGCAAAAAGAAGCTAAAAAGAGTGTGATAGAAGCCCAAATTAGCTGAAATAAGCAAAACTAACAAACCCCAAAAGGAGCACAAAAATCTGAAATTTGCAGGAAAAAGCTAAAAAGAGAACAAATCAGATAAAATTAGCAGAAAAGTAGTTGAATAAAATCACTTAAAATCTCAAATTAGAAGAAGCAAACGCGTAAAGCTGAAATTAATTGAAAAATACCTTAAAAAGTAGATATAACAGCAGGAAAAAGCTGAAATTAGCATAAAAAGAAGCTGAAAAGAAACTGAAATGAGCAGAAAGCAGCTAAATGAAGCCGAAGGAAGCCGAAAGTAGCACAGAGAAGCTGAAAAAGCTGAACCAGAAGAAAAGCTGAAGTGAGCAGTAAAATTTTTAAACAGCTAAAGGATTTGAAGGATGTGAAGAGAGCTCCATTCAGTTTCAATGAAAAAAAACATGGCAGACAAAGCCAAATGTACATAAAAAAGTACAAATAGCACAAATATCTAAAGTCACAGCAGGAATGTCCTGAATGAGCTGAACGTTTTGATTGATGAATTATTGAAATAGAACAAAAACTGAGGGATGAGTTACGTGCTGAAAAACGTACGGAACTAAAACGGATCTAAATAGAGTGAAGGATTTCAAAACATTCAGACTCTTAGTCAAAGCTGTCCTTGGATAAACATCTGCAACTAACTTTTGGCGTCAACACAATTTAAGATGGCTGCCACAACCAGCTCAACTTAAAAACACAAAAACGGCTACAACTTACAGATGCTGACCTAAAATTTGGTGTTTGCTGCTGATACTCTTTAACATCACTGACATCTCATACGTCACATTATTTTCAAAGTTTACCACAACGCTGTGATTTTTCAACAGAAGATGATTTCAGTGGCGTGAAGAGCAGCGGTTGATATGCAACTCTGTCAGGAATTCTTTTAAATATACACCCACAGTCTCCCTAGTTTTCAGCTGATTTGTGTAAAACGTGTATTTTTCTGATGCAAATACTAGAACAGGAAATTGTTGTTCAGAGGGGTGTATTTGCACGTCTCAGAGTTTATTAATAATCTGTGTTTACCAAGAAACCAGAGCATTGATCCACTTCACTTTCAGTTCATGAGTCATATTGGAGCCAGCTGGATGGCTTTGTGTGTGCGTGTGCATGTGTGGTACTTTAACACACGCTGACAGGAAAACTGCCCACACAGAGGGAGTAATTCATCTTTCCAGAAACCCCTCCATCTCTCCGTCCTTCCCCTTCCTGCACTCGCTCCCTGACTTCCTGTTCTGCCTCCTCTTTGTGTCTAGGTGACCATCTGGGAAGCGTTGACCAATAGCAAGCCAGGAACGCACCCCCTGGCCTGCGACCCCAGTCGTGTAGAGAGGTAAGAAGTAAACTGAGTTTTAAGGAGCATCTGAAACAAGTGGATAAAATAAAATGGACTTTTGTCTTCAAACGAGCTAAAAGCCTTACAAAACTAAATCTTCATTTCCTGGTTTTTGACTTCCTCTCACTTGTGAGTTGTTATTCTTCCCTCTCTTGTTGTGTTTCCTTCCTTCCATCCTTGACTCACATCCTGTCCTCCTCCACTCGATTATCTTATCCATCCTGCTTTCCTCCTCTCAGCTCTTTGTGTTTGTGGATGGGGGGGTTTCCTGCTGCCACCGTTAACTTTAGCCCGTTGTCCTTATCTGTCATCCCTGTTGGTAGACGAGTGGCTGACCCGTCTCTGTTTCCTTTTACAAACAGTCCTGATGATGAACTGTAGTTTGAGTGCCAAAACCACGAGATTATTAAGCCATTCTTTGTTGTTGGCGACAAACTACCAGTGAATGAAGTCATCACTGGTGAGACGAACTTTAAATAATCCTGAAACAAAAGTGAGGGAACTCATCAGACACATTTTAGTGCAATGTATGTTTTTTTATGTGTTTTTTTAAATTATTATTATTTTGGAAGACTATGCTCTTCTACACAGGGTAACTCCTACCCTGAGGGTATCAAGTCCCACAGTCAATGTGGACCTCGAGATCTGGCAGATTAGCAATGGTTAGAAGTAATCAAGTGCGTATTTGAGCCTGTTTGGTTTATTGGTTGGGAGGATCTCATTGTGATGCTTTCGGTCCATGAACACACGTGCTACGTGGATGGGGGATGTTTTGATGAAGGACTGTACCAAAGGGCTGTCTTTGTAGAAAACACATGGACACATGAAGTCACTATGCTGTCAGGGTCCTATGGCCCATGACCACAGGTGACCTGAAGTCATAGACTGTAGGCTTGTTCACTGAACAGTTGAGTAAAATGTTCTCAAAGACCTGTCAGCCTTTAATCTGCCTCTGACTGTTCACAAGTCCCTCACTGAGCCGACCCACCGTGAAGTACCACAAACGTGTGAAGGATGTCTCCATCGAGTCATTTTCAAAACACAATGGATGAACTAAGTTTAGCAGTTCTCTTAGTGGTTTCCCAAACTTTTCAACTAAATACAAAGTCTCTGTGCATCGTATCCTCAGTAATAAATCTGCTTATGGCTGCACAGACTGTATGCCATCATTACATCCCATCCATGAGTCGCAGAGCCGGTTTACCTTTCCACATGTCCACTATTACAACTTTGGTACCACATCACTGACTTCAGACACCCATACCACTTGAGTTCATTTAGAAATCACACTGACACAACCAGGAGTTTAAGTCCTGTCTTTAAATGTTTTGTAAATGTGCTTAAGACACCATGATGCCAGGAAGAATGCCAGGGTGTCTCTCCAGAACATTGACAGGATTGGTCCTCTCCCCTCATCACCATCATGTACTCACACAAGTCATCTGAGATCACGATGAACCAGAACAACACCACTCATAATCATTTTATAACTCCTTGCTATGCCACCCCTCCACACACAGCTCTAGAGTTACTGGCAGCTCACACATGAGATGGTAAACTTGTAGTCCAGCTGATGTCATTCATCAAGACATGATTCTGGGTGTACACAGAGTATTGCAAAGGATACAATACCCTGTGTCCAGGTGGCAGGACCAGATAAGGTTTTGTAATGATTGGTACACAAAACAACAGTCCTCCCTTGATGTGGACTGTCTTGAATGATCATGTATGGTTATCCTTAAGGACCCACTGGTTCCAACATCAGGCCACTGTGAGAACTGTGCAGGTGGAGCAATAGAACATCAAGTTCACCCAAACCCACAGTGTACCCTGTCAAACGTCATCAAGCCCAAGTAACAGGCCACACATACTCCCCAGTCCAGACTATACCTGGGGTCTAGGCCTGATTATACCCCAGGTACATAATGGCCTTAACCTATTTATGTCCCTCAGGCCAGATTATACCCCCGTCATTTCAGTAGTGTTGAGTCATAAACACAAGAATTAATTACATTTTCAACATTTTATTGGTGGTTCAGCTTTGTCAGGTAAGTTAAGTGAGAAAGATAACTGGCTTAAACCCATCCATCCATCCATTCATCCTTTTTCTTTACCTGCTTCTTCCTTTTCGGGTCGCGGAGGTCACTGGTGCCCGTGTCCAGCCATCACTAGCTATGTTTACACGTGCCAAATTCTTTGATTGGATTGAAATATATTTGGATTAAATAATCCAAATGTATCATTTACATACAATGTTACAGTACATGTTAACAATCCGTTCACGACGAGTGTTTACATGCAGCGGACTTTTATTCTGAATAGAAGTACTGGCATGTGCAGAGTGGTAAACTCTCCTTAAAAAAACATAGAAGAAGACGTTCTACTTCCGTGATAAACGTAAACAAACCTGAGCACCCAAAATGGACCTGCAACAGGTTTTAATGACGTGGAGACGTTACTGCACTCCCTACAGGTAATACAGATCATTTTGATCTCTTTCAAAGTTTCTAGTAGAAATGTTGCATTGCTCACCGACCAGTTTTGCTTCCCTGACATATTACCATCTAGCCAGGTGGAAATACATGAGGTTGATATGGGTCACACATGCGCAGTCAGGTCAGTTTTCCACGATCGGAAAAAAAAATGAACAGATTAAGTGTTTACATGCATACCGTTCAGAGTATGAATCGGCATAAACCCTCCCTCTCATTCGGATTACAAATTCATTTGGATTGAGCTGAATTAGCTCAGAATAATCTGAATGGGGCGTTTACATGACACATTTTTATTCTGAATGGCTGTTTAATCTGGTTACTTATGTCCATGTAAACATAGCTACTGTGCAAGAGGAGGGGGGACACCCTGGACAGGTCTCCAGTCCGTCACAGGGACATATAGAGACAAACGAGACAAACAACCATTCACTCTCTCACTCACATCTAGAGACAATTTAGAGTTACCAATCAGCCTAACATGCATGTTTTTAGTCTGTGGGAGGAAACTGGAGTACCCGGAGAAAACCCACGCATGCACGGAGAGAACATGCAAACTACACACAGAAAGACATTGAACCCAGGACCTTCTTGCTATGAGGCAACAGTGCTAACCACTGAGCCATCGTGCTGCCAATAATTCCTTACAATACTTAGAAAGTTTGAAACAGATTCTGGTCATTTATTTTTTGCTTCATGGTTCAAATTTTACACCAAGTCAGACTAAACAGTTTTGACAATTAAGGTCCATTTTTTCTCTCACACTTTGCTATGAGTGTGACATATCAGCAACATTTACCTTAAAACTCTGAAGTTAAAACATGTATTTAACAGATTACTAGATCCAGTGCATCACTGTACTCTGTACTGAATTGTTTTACAGATGCATTATTTTATGGGTTTGTTTGTTTGTTAACAGAAAAACATCCATCCATCCATCCATCCATCCATTTTCTTTACCCGCTTATTCCATTTTGGGTCATGGGGATCGCTGGTGCCCATGTCCAGCAATCACTGTGCGAGGGGCGGGGTACACCCTGGACGGGTCGCGAGTCCATCACAGGGCCACATAGAGACAAACAAGCATTCACTCTCTCACTCACACCTAGGGACAATTTAGAGTTACCAATCAGCCTAACATGCATGTTTTTGTTCTGTGGGAGGAAACTGGAGTACCTGGAGAAAACCCACGCATGCACGGAGAGAACATGCAAACTACACACAGAAAGGCCCCTGGACCGGGGTTTGAACCAGGGACCTGCTCGCTGAGAGGCAGCAGCTCTACCAGTTGCGCCACCGTGCCGCTTAACAGAAAAACAGATATTTATAAATGTCATACTGTAAATTATGAGTCTTTGTTCTATAAAAAACGTCTCTGAAATGTTCATGTCCTCATGATTTCAACTTTGTGCTAAATTATTTCCCATCTATCAAAACAAGTTTTTAGTGTTTTAAAGCTTCAGAAAAAAGTTAATGTTTTTAAACTACCTTTTAGTATGGAATCCCAAAACTGCCTAAACTAAATTTAAAGAAAAGATCAAATCTATAAATGTATAAAATAATATTAATGCTTATGTACAAACCATTTTACATTTTAATGTAATAATATTAATAATAATAAAAAAACATATATTTTTTTGTCCTGTTCATGTTTTTTTATATTCTTTCTGTCTTTTTGTATACAGTCTTATTTATTTAATATAGCCTTTAATTTTTTCTTTCATTTATTCTATCCTTTTCTTAATTTTAATCCTTGTGTGTTTTGTATTGATTTATTATTTTGTCTTTGTTGTCCTTCCAGTTTGTCCTCTGAAACAGTCAGGTTTGAGCATCAGATGTCCTCGTCCCCCTCGTGAACCTCGTGTCAGATCAGGTGACCCCTTCAAGTTTCACTCTCAGATTTCTGTGAAGGAGAAAATAACAATTAAAACAGTCAAATCTTTATACGTATTTAATCAAAAACAAACAAGGAGACGCTTCAGTTGATAAAATCTGATGTTGAGTGTGTTTAATGATTTGAACTCAGAGTCTTTGTGGACATAGTCTGACAGAAGCTCTGACTGTCAAACAGTGACAGAAAATACTTTTATTCAACTAAAACCAAACCAAACACTGGTGACACTGAAGAAAACCAAAGGTCCTAAAAACAGAACAAACATGTGAGAAGAACACGGCCTAAACCCACCTGAGGATTTCAGACTAGAGAAATTGTATTTCCTACAAAAATGCAGTGTGAATATTTATTGCTGAAGAACTTGCTGAAAAACAGCTGAAATTAGCTGAAAAAAAAAACATGATGAATTGAATCTGCAATGAAAGAACAAACCTTAATTAGCACAAGAAAGCAGAAATAACACATTTTTGCTGAATTAGGTATAAATAAGCAGAAATTTTCACAAAAATGAGTAAATTTGCTAAAAAAAAAAAAAGGTGAAATTAACAAAAAAATAGCTGAAAAGTAGCTGAAAAGGCAGAAATAAGCTTAACCTACCAGAAGGAAGTGTGTGGCAGCTACTTCCATTCAGATTAGTGATCAGTACTCCAATATTCCGATACTCCAATACTCTGATACTCAGAATCAGGACTTCCTTGATTTGAACACTTATTTTCTTATTTATGGTCCAAATATTTCGTAGACATGTTTTTCTGTTGTTGTCATTCCATATTTCAGTTTATCTGTGAAAGTTTTGATCAAACTTCTTTTTTTTTTTATTTCATCTGTACAGCGGTGCTCTAAACTCATGTATCGTTTCTGCTCAGGACCCCCCAGAACAAGCCCCACCCTCCTTCCAGCATAGGCTCCACCCCCTCCAAGAAGCCACCGCCCACCTGCAGCTACAATGAGCAGCTGCGCATTGCCATGGAGATCTCTGCCCGAGAGAAGGAGGAAGCAGACTTCCGGCGGCGGCAGGAAGAGGAGGAGCTGCAGCGCATTATCCAGCTGTCTCTGATGGACAAGTGAGAGTCTGCAGAGACAGAGGGTGGGGGCGGGGTTTGAACCGAGGACATGTGGGAGAAAAGACAAATGGCTACTCTACAACTTAAAGCACATAAACTGTTTTGTGGGTTTGTATGATCAAATCCCCCGCTTCTCTCTTCTCCTACCGTCTTCTTTGGTCGAACTTTCCTACGAAGCCATACGGTGATGCAGCTGTCAGGCCTTTAAACAGCCAGAGGGGTACCCCATGGTACGTTACTGAGCCATGCCAGTTTACAACAAACAACAACACATCCAGTTCAATCTTAGTGGAATGCTTTTGCAGAAAAAATATCTCTTTGCAATTATGTTTCAAAACCAGCTCTCTGCACCAAAACACAACGTGTAAGGCCAACTTCCTGCTCCAGCGTTGACACACACACGCACACACACACGCACACACCAATCCCTTTCCATCAGGGTTTTCTTTGTGGTCGTTTAAAAAGGAGCAGTGCCAACATCAGAGGTGTGGAGATGATGAATGTCAACAAACCATCAGACTTCCTCGTTTTTTTAATGAAAACAAAATGAAAAAAACAAACAAAACAAAAAAATTGTGTTCTTTTCTTTTTTCTAATAATTTTTCACCAAATCAATGTGTACTGTATTTAGCCTGCAGGTGGACCACACATATGACTGTTAATGAACGTTGGTGATGAGTTTGAGCACAAAGTGATGTCATGTTTTATCCCGTCTGATAAAAAACAAACTACCGGATGAACACTGGTGCACTAACTACACTCTCCGTGTTTAATCAAACTGTTAAAGGGACAATGCTAGTGTTGCTGTGAGTAAGTGAACTGTGGAATAGAAATAATACTGAACAGGATGTGCATCTAATCACCTTAAATGAGCAGATTATTTCTGTGTTTCTGTTTAGTCACAGTGGGGGTGTAACGCTACTTGTATTTGTACCAACCGGTCACGGTGCAGATGTTTGGGTCCGATGTAGGCCATCTTTCACGAGCTTTCACCGTGTTGCATGAGCTCACACTCAAGATTTGACCAGAACTCAGTGTCTTCAACATAAAATGATGATGTCAGTCTAAAGTTCAGCAGCTGATATGCATTCCTTCATGGAACACTGGGAAAGGTTCATTCAGCTGGTGGCATGGGGTCCACATCTGGTCCATGGGGGAGCTCAGTCCGGCCCACCGATGAGTCAGTTTTTAATAAAACCAGATTTTAAATCAGAAAAATAATTAAAAAAAAAAAAAAATCGGTGAAACACTTGAAAAATCCTAAATATTTAGATGATCTTTGCATCTGCCTGCAAGTTAAAATAAAAATAAAACTTAAATTGAAACTAAAACTACAGAAATTGCATTTCCTGCAAAAATGCAGTGTGACTGCTTATTGCTGAAGTATTTGCTCCTGAAAAACAGCTGAAAATAGCTAAAGTATGCTGAAATTTAGCTGAAGTGGAAGAACTAGCCCAAGTTAGCAGAAGAAAGCAGAAAGAACACAAATTTGCTGAATTAGGTTTAAAGAAGCACAAATGAGCAGAAAAATTAAGAAATGATCTAACAAAGCTGAAATTAGCAAACCACTGCTGAAAGTAGCTGAAAAGGCACAAATAACCAAATATTGGAAAGAGCTGAAATAGGCGAAAAATAGGAATTAGCTGAAAAAGCTAAATAAAACATCTAAAAAGTAGCTGAAATTGCAGAAAAAGCTGAAACTAGCATAACAAGCTGATATTAGCAGAAATAAGTTAATTAGGTTGAATGTAGCAAAAAATATCATGGAAAAACTCAAACTTATCTGAAAACAGCTAAAATTAGCTAAAAATGCTAAAAAAAAAAATTATAAAAGGTAGCTGAAAAGATAAAATAAACTTAAATTAGCAGAAGAAAGCAGAATGAACCTGTTTGTTGAAAGAGGCAGAAATGAGCACAGAAAAGTGGAAATTATTGGAAAAAAAGCTGAAATTAGCAAAATCACTGCTGAAAAGTAGCTAAAAAGGCAGAAAGAAGCTGAAATAAGAAAGTGGAGAGAGCACATTTTGTGCTGAATTAGACTGAAAAAGGTTGAAATGAGTATAAAAATGTAGAATTAGCTGAAAAAGCTTAAATTAGCATAAAACGTCTATATAGAATCTGAAATAGCAGAAAAAGCCAAAACATCCAGAAATAAACTGAAAGGAGCACAAGTTGAAATTAGCAGAAATAATTTAGAAGAAGCACAAACATGTTGAAGTTGGCAGAAATAATTTGAAAGGAGCACAAAACAGCTGAAAAACCAGCTGAAATTAGCTGAAAAATGTTTTTAATTTGCACAAGGAAGCTGAAAGAAGCTGAAGCAAAACAAAATGTGAAAGAAGTAGTAGGATGTAAAATGAGCTCAGTTCATTTTCTATGAGAAGAAATGGCAGAAAAGGCTAAATATTTCAAAAAGCTAAAGATGTACCAATACCAAAAGTCATGGCAGGATTGTCCTGAAAGAGCTGAACGTTTTGTGATTTTGAAATAGCACAAAATTGTGGAACGAGAAAGATGCTAAAAAATGTGCGGAAGAAAAATAGATCACAACAGTGTGAATGCTTCATAAACGTTCACACAATTAATGTAACGTCAATATTAGTCGGATGTTCTGCCTCTGAGAAAATGAGTTAAATAGCCTTTAATTTATTTTAATTTTCATGATGAGAAAAAAAATGTTTCTGGGGCGTTATGGTCTGTTCAGAATATGTGAAAGGACAGCGAACATGTGGACGTTTTTAAACATCACACCTTTGACTGACAAACTGAATATGTGCATCGTTACACCCCTACGAGTCAGTGTACCTGTTAATATGTCAGCATGGCGTGCACATGTGTGAGGTTTCGTTTGCCTGATTCGAGTCTTGCCTGGATGTCAGAACATGCTCCTCGAGGGGCGGTGAAGTGTTTTTGTTCAGCAGCAAAACTAAAGCCCCAAATGTTTCCAGAGCCCTGAAGGTCGGCTCATAATTGTAAGTAACTTGAGGTTGCAGTGCTCCAACAGCCAAACCAGGAGACTACTGGGAGCAGCTCCAGTGGTTTTTGGTCCTTCCTGTTTTTTAAGGTAATTAGCACAAACAGGAGATCCGTACTTTGTAATCATAGTGAAGCTTGACTGGCTTGTTAAAAAAAACAAATTAATTTTTTTAATTTATTTTTACTTTTTAAAACAATACAACAATAACACGGTAAATCCCAGGAAGTGATTCAAATAAAGGAACTTCTTTTGAACCAGCAGCGTTTGAGTGATGTTTTCCTCCTCTTTGAATTCAAGACACACTTTGAAAAGCTCTAAATCCCTTCACCTCATCCCAAAGTTTCCTAGGCCTCTCGGATAAAAGATGGTGACAGAAGCGATTTGTTTCTCACGAGACGAGCAAAGCTGCAGTCAGTCAGCAAAAGAAAGGGCTGATCTGTTTTTAGCTGCTGCCACCTCCATCATCGTCCCTCTGACGTGGACTCCCAGCGCCTCAGCCGAGATCCAAGGATGCCAGTTCTTTTAATCTTCACAAGAAGAGCTTACTGTAAACCCTGCAAGAAATACCAATCAGGACAGAGAGAGCAAGAAAACAAATCTCCAGTGAGCTGCTCGTACTTTCCACTGAGCCTCAGACTGCAGAGGGTTGGCCACATGTTGGACATCTGTGGAACAGTCACCACCGTAAAACACAGTGACCGTTTGTTAAAGAAATGTTCTGGAAACATCAGCACGCAAAGAGAACTGGAGAAATTGCATTTCCTGGGAAAATGCAGTGTGATTGCTTATTGCAGAAGAACTTGCTGAAAAACAGCTGAAATTTGCTAAAATGTAGCTGAAATGAAAGAGCAAGCGTAAGTTAGCAGAAGAAAACTGAAAGAACACACATTTGCTGAATTAGTTTCAAATAAGCATAAATGAGCACAAAACTAGGAAATTAGCTAAAAAAAGGCTGAAATTAGAAAAAAAAATAGCTGAAAAGTAGCTGAAAAGGCAGAAAGAAGCTTAAACTATCGAAAGGAAGTGGAAGGAGCTGGAATGAGCAAAGAAAATGTGAAATTAGCAGAAAAAACTCAGTTTAGCACAAAACAGCTAAAAAGTAGCGGAAATAGCAGGCAATAGTTGAAACTAGCAGAAAAAACTGAAAAGAACATAAGCTTAAATTAGCAGAAAGAAGTTAAATAGGCTGATAGACAAAATAACTATGAAAAACTTGAATTTATCAGAAAACAGCTGAAATTATCTAAAATAAATAAATAAAAAACGCCCAGAAAAATAGCTGAAAAGGTAGAACAAGCTTAAATTAGACGAAAGCAAAGAACGTGCTGAAAAAAGCATAAATGAGCACAAAAAAGTGCAACTTATCTGAAAAAAGCTGAAAGTAGCTAAAAAAGCAGAAACAAACTTAAATTACCAGTAGGACGTGGAGAGCATTTTTTGTTGAATTGGGCTGATTAAAGTAGAAATAGTTGAAACTTGCAGAAATCAGCTGAAATTAGCAGAAAGAAGTTAGAAGACGCACAGACATGTTGCCGTTATCAGAAAGAATCTGAAAGGAGCACAAAACAGCCGAAATTAGCTGATTTTTTTTTTAAATTTGCACAAGGAAGCTGAAAGAAGCTGAAGCAGAACAAAATGTGAACAGATAAGTAAAAGGTTGTAAACATATTTAAAGATGTGAAGGATGTAAAATGAGCTCAATTCATTTTCTATGAGAAAAAATGTCAGAAGTCTAAACATTTCAAAAAGCTAAAGATGTACCAATACCAAAAGTCATAGCAGGATTGTCCTGAAGGAACTGAATGTTTTGATTTATGATTTGTTGAAATAGTTTGAAAACTGCGGCATAAGAACTGCACCAAAAAACGTATGGAATAAAAATGGATCAGTGTTATGAATGCTTCATAAACATTCAGACGATGAAGTCAGGGGCTCCACGGCTGAAGAGAGCAGCTCCAGGGCGATCTGAAGGCCAGATTTAATCCCTTCATCTTGATCTGGGTGTGCCCTGAGGTCACCTTCAGGGTCAGGCTTGGAACATGGACCAATAGAGTGCTTTGCCTTTCAGCTTCACTACAACAGACTGGAGCAACACCCTTTACTGCAAACGAGGCCCCGATCTGTTGGTTCACCTCGTTCTGTCACGCCATCCAATCCTGGTCCTCGAGGGCCACTGTCCTGCATGTTTCTGATTCAGTGAGGGTGTGTGTGTGTATGTGTGTGTGTATGTGTGTGTGTGTGTGTGGGGGGGGGGTCATTTATCAGACCTAAAACCTTAAGAAGACTTGAGGATGTTTCCTGTCTGAGGCCAGAGTGAATGATCTGAATGTTTCAGTGAAATCAGTTTACAAAATCTGAACCATAAAGAAATAATTATTTCTAGTTTATGACGAATTCTTTCAGGGCACACCCTTTATTAAAAGCTTTTATTTTGAAAGTCAGCTGAGGTGGAGTTAACCAGCGGGTCTTATTTACACCTACTTTTAACTACATTTAAACTTCCATAGAGATGGAGTTCTGATTTCCTGCTGATCTGTGGAGTTTTAAATCCTGGTGGAGTCCTTTAATGTCGGCCTGACTGAAGGCGTGCACGTCTCAGCGGTGCGTCTCGTGGCCTACATCTCAGTTTAATCACACACATGAAACAGGAGGTAAAAAGTCAGCCGCTGCACCGTCACTTCTCCACGCTAACGATGTGCTCAAAGGAACATCTTCAGTCCGATCAAACCAACAGGGTGGACGTTTCTCTGGGCCTGAAGAGCGGGTTTGTTTTAAAGTGCACCAACAGGGGGCGCTGAGGCACCAAACAAGACTAATGAGTTCTGTTTGATCTCATATTTATTTCAAGCTAAAGCACCAGATAAAAAAAGATACAGCAGCAACATGTAAGCTTTAGCCTGGTTTAATAAAAATCTGAATAAAGACATCTTTGAAAACAAAAATAAACCACAGACAAGTTGAGACAGTGCAAAACGATCTTCTGCAGCGTAAAAAATTAAAAAACAAATATCAAATGAAAGAAACGACAAAAATCATCTAAACAATAAAGTGCATGTTCTGAGAAAAAGCCCCTCTTGGTTGTAGTTTGAAGTCTGAACAGGGAACGAGGGTCACGCTACAAACAGTTCTATAAAAAGGAGGCGCACGTACCGAGGCGCACGTACCGGAGCCGCTTCAGTCTCAGTCTGCACATTCATGTCCGACTGCCCAGAACTCCAGTTAAACTAACATCCAGTGCTTTCCACGTCTCACCGCACACACAGGAGACACACGCGCCATGCTGCCTCTTTCAGACCGCTCCGCTCCGGTTGCTCCGGTCCGGCCCGGTGAGGTCACATGGTGTTGTAGAGCAGACATCTTTGTTTCCTCTCTGCAGAGGCTTTACGAGAGCGCCTTGATGAGTGTCCTCTGCCCTGCTGACAGGAAGCAGAGCCCGCACTGTTACAATCTACTTCATCGCTCCCACACACCTCACCTCTGTCCTCCTGTGTGGAGGAGGTGGAGGAGGAGGAGGAGGAGGAGGAGGAGGAGGAGGAGGAGGAGGAGGAGGAGGAGGAGGATGTGCCATTGAAGGATAAACCTGTTTTTTCAGAAAAACTGTTCAGACTAAGCACTTTCTGCTTCTTCCAGGTGTCATCTGAGTGAGGCTGGGTCAGGGAGGAGGAGGGGGGGCTGTGGGGGTGTGACCTGGTTTGTGGCCTCAGGTCCAGCTCCAGGTCCAGGCTCAGGTCGTCGGCTGACAGCTGCAGACAGTCCAGTTTAGCTAAGGAGGCCGACCTTTTCATGAATGAAGGAGGGGTGAGGCCTGCCTGTCGCATTCGAGCCTCCAGCTCGACGGTTCTGTGCCACCTGGCTGGTTCTGAGGGCCCCCTGCATTCCTGTCCGTCTCTTAGCTGCTGCCTATGTGCCGGGCCTGGAGGGTCGTGTCCTGGCTCAGTGTCCATGGTGTCTCTCAGCCCCGGAGGCTGCTCCAGGTCTTGTGCTTGGCTGTCGGTATCGTCCAGGCCGACCCCCTCCTGAAGGAAGGCCTGCAGCTCTCGAAGCGTGTGCTGGATCCGCTCAAGCTCCTGGCTACTGTGGACCAAACGGCTCTGAGCCTCACAGTCGGGCCCACAGGCCTGCCTCATGTCCTGGAGACAAGAGTCCAGCCCTTGGTCTGTACTGGACTCCTGTACCGTCACTCCATCCACGGTCATGTGACACAAAGCAGCCGGACTCTTTTGGGTTTGGTGGAGCTGGTCCTGCCTGTGAGACGGGGCTGAGGTATCTAGAGATGATTCTTCCTGCGATGATGTCACAGCTTCACCATTTATGGGCATGCGCACCAGGTTAGTGACTCGGCTGAGATGAGAGTTCTGGGAATGGGACAAGTCTTGGACTTTGTCCGTCCTTGAGGACTGAAGCACCGTCTCAGACTCCGTGTGCGTCTCTTCGTCTTTGGGTGTAGCAGAAACAGCCGTGTTCCCTCCCTGAGTGCTGCTGTGTCCTGCAGTGTGCAGGGGGTCTGGACTTTGGGAGCACCGGGTCAGTCCAACAGGAGGCTGTTCGGCGCTGGGGGAGTGCAGTGGAGACCGCTGAGATGCCGCCATGTCCTGCTCCCGCCTCAGCTTCTGCTCCAGCTGCTCGGTGGCCCGCCGCACCGAGCCCGCCGCCCAGTCCGCCAGGACTTTAGAGTCCTCTGCCTCCTCCTGAGGGTCCCACTGCACAGTCTGAGGACTGGGAGAGGAGGCGGCAGACTGTGATATGGCTTCCATTTCAATGACGATGTGGCGAACTGACACTCCGTTGTCCTTGTGAGTGGGACGGGTCGGATCAGGACTTGTTCCGTCACAGGAGTCGGACCCAAGAGACGCCTGGAAGACAAAAACAGATTTCATTAGAATCAGGAGTCCTCCACATGTCACAGATTTATCAGACCGGCTCCAGCTGGAGAACTGAGCTCTAATTTATGTCAGAACCTGAACAAGCAGCGGAGCGGCACCGACGGCAGAACGAGGGCCGTCAACACAAACATCTTTACAGAACGTCACGCAGAACTCCAGGAAACCAGGTTCCCCAGGAGGATGTAGAACCTGAACGGACTCTGACTCAGAGTGGAGTCTCTAACAGGAGACTGACGGCACTGACAACAACTTTACTTTTCACTCCAGTTTGTAAAGTTTAGTCTGTTGGTAGGTTTATAAACTGACCCTGTTAAAGCCAACCCTGTCTGTCTGTTAGCAAAATATCTCAACTGGACAATTGCTGAAACACTCTGTGCAGATGTCACCGTCACTGAAGGATTTGAACAGTGAATGTTTGTAGTTTTCATTGAGTGTTTTTCTGGACTGGAATTGAACAGAGAATGGAAGTAAGCCTAAATGTTTTTAACACACAATGTCCCACTAGGCCTGTCGCCATAAACAATAAATCAATTAATCGCATGAAAAATTAAAATTATCAACCTCATTTTTATTTATTGGCTTCATCGTTTCTCCGTGTCTCTCTCTTTCTGTTGAAGACACTGGACGACAAAAGGCTCAACTCCGGTGTTCTTCACTGACCCTTCCCGTTCTCTTTAAAATTTGTTTTATTGATCCAAAATCACGTTTTTGGATCGATAAAAGCAGCTAAGCCGAGAAGCTAAGCTAAGAGCTAAGCCGAGAAGCTAAGCTAAGAGCTAAGCTAACGGGTCGACCTCGGGGAAAAAACCTCCGTCTTGTCGAAGCTCCAAAATTCATTGTTGAAACTCGTGCCTTCGTGTAAAATGTTGTTTTTCTCTGTAAAAAAAGTCTGAGAACTTGTTTACAGATTTTTTTTTTAAAGCTTTATGTGAAAAATGCTATGCTAAAGAGCTCAAACCACATTGAGCGTCCGCCATTTTGAGAACCGAATAAAGGAAGGAGACAGCCCATGTCACGTCAAGGGGCCTCCCTCCCATTTTTATTAAAGACACGCTGCTCGCTCCCTCATTATCCATCCTTCAGTTCAAACTGTTTTACTGCCATCTGGTGGTCAAAAAAGGTACTAGATGCAAAACAAATTAACCAACATTTCTTCTTAAATTTGACAGTAATTACCAATTATTGTCAAATTTCAAACAATATTATTGTTTATCGCAATAATTTCTGAGACAATCGTCCAGCAAAATTTATTATCGTGACAGGCCTATGTTCAAGTAGAGAGGAGTTAAGAGTGTGGAGGAGAACAGAGGGAGGTGTTTCGTTTGTTGCTCGTCTGAGGCAGTTTGGAAGGAGCAATTTTTTCCTCCAACAAGTGCAATGGTGGAGCCAGGGAGTGGCCAAAGGCGCTCTTGGCCCCTCATAGATTAATTTTCGGCCACCGCAGTTTTTGATAGGGACGTTCTTATACTTGGATGCCGCCACACACTAAAGTGGAGGTTGGTACCGGCCATGTTTACATCACGGACCGATGGACTGATTGAAGGTATTTTCCAACTTGCCTCTTCGCTCTGCGACAGGGAACCACCACTGGATTAACTTTAGGAACCATCCCAATTTAAGGTGCCTGCTGAAGCTAATCAACCTTAGCGAACTGAGAAACTGTCAAATATGCACACATTGAACTAATATAATGTGGAAGTAGCTGAGAGTCGTTAACGAAATATATTCTAAGATCTAAAACAAGATCACATGTGATTGAATATAATGTTATTTTAAAGTTTTGACTAAAACCGGCTCATTTCTCATCATAAGATCTTCTAGGTTAAAACTCTGGGCGATATGCGTTACTTCCAGGAACGCTGGGCCTCTACCTGATGTTGAAGAGATCCACCGTACCCTCTGCTTGTTTTTATGAGGTATGAAGCTGAATTATTTGATCAAAATTAAAAACAATCAACAAACCTTCACTGGACTCATCTCCTGCTCCTCCTCCTCGCTGACTTCCTCTCCCTCAGGTGACAGTGGTGTCCTCTGCTCTCGCCTGTCCTGAGCCAGGCCCAGGAACTTCTCCCTGGCAGAGAAGAAGTCCATGTTGTCCACGCTGTGATTGGACGAGCCGTCGGCCTTGCCGCGGCTGTTCGACAGACTTCCTATCTGCAGCTCGCTGGGGTTGTTGTTGTCATCCTTCAAAGCTAGAACCAGAGGTAGAGGGCTGTGTTCGTCACTGCTGAGGTCCAAAAAACATTTATTTAGCAAGTCCGAGTCACTGGATCCCAGAGTGAGAGGAGAGCTTTCCCCTGAGCTGCAAGTCTTCGACAAATTCAGCTCCTCTGGTTCGTATTTAGGCACTGAAATGGACAGGTGAGTGGGAGGTCGCCGAGGAGTCCGCCGGAGCTCAGGAGTGGGAGGTAAGATGAGGAGTGAGGGAGGAGGATGTGGCAGAGCTACAAGCACCGTGACAGCCATGCTGGCTGAACTGTTCAGTCTCTCCTCTGGGATGATGGTGGCTGCTCGAGGTCTGGGGAGGACAGGAGGAACGGAGTCTTCAGAGTCCAGCCTCACCTCCTCCCGAACCTCCGACTCCCCCATGTCGTTGCAGACAGAGACAGAGGTGGGTGCGCTGTTTGTTTTGGAAGAGTTTTTGGGTCCGGCGCCAAGCGCCTGCAGGACGGCCACACCCAGGAAGTGGTGTAAGGAGGTGGTGTTGTTGTGCGAGTCGGAGCGGACCAGAGAGGGGGATGAAGTTTTACGGATGGAGTCGGGCCGGTCTGACAGGTCGCTGTCAGAGTGAGACCTCCAGAGCTTGTTGTGCCGCTGTTTACTGTAGAGGAGGACAAACCGTTAGCTTCAAACATGGAGCAAACCCAACGGCTGTTTGTGTACGGAACCGACCTCGCCAGCAGGATGCCCTGGTACTCCTCCAGCTGCTTCATGAAGGATGGGTTGGGTTTGGTGACAGCACGTCTCTCTTTCACATAGTCGAAGGCCGTGTCCAGATCCCAGCCGTACTCCTTCATGGCGTAGGCGATGACCGTGGATGCGGAGCGGCTCACACCCATCTTACAGTGAACCAGACACTTCACTCCAGCTTTCCTGGGGAGACGAGAAAGAGAAAGCTTTACAACAAGTACTATGGGGGGGGGGGGCACAAAAGTGTGCAGACGCTTACTTGGCTTTGGTGATGAACTTGTAGGTATCGTTCCAGTACTCCAGCAGGTTGGTGGCCTCCTCGTCGTAAACTCGGATGTTGTGGTACTCAAACATCCCCGGGAAGAAGTTGTCTATTTCCCTGGTCACATTCAGGATGTAGCGCACTCTGCGTCAGACACACAGAGACGAAGGATTACTGGGACCAGTTTATTATAAAAAGAACACTGTATAAACTATAAATGAGAATTTTATTCTAGGGGTGTGTCCCAAGCACTGAAAAAGATGCTGGCTCAGCATCGAGAGGAAAGAACTGCTTCATCAGGAGGTGGGGATGGGAGTGTTGAATATTTGAAGAACAGCTGATTAATTACTGGACAGATTCAAAAAGTGTTTCTGCTGAAAATTCCTGCTCTGAATGTAAACACCACAGAGAACCAGTGTGTGGTGTTTACATTCTTAAAGATGTGATTAGGAGGATGGATGTGCTTCTGTGATCCACGAGACAAGCTCCCTTCTTCTTTGGGAATTCAATGACTGACCGCGTGTGCGTTTGACTAATTAAGAGTCTGCAGACTGGATTAATTAGGAGCCCTGAAAGTTCTGATCTCTCACCCGCTGTTCTGCAGCTCCTCTAGGTTGGAGGCGTTCCACTCAGAGCCCTGCAGAAAAACACGCCCAGTCAGAACCACAACTTCTGGAGAAGACGGGTCAAAATCAATGAGGACATTCTTGTATAACAAACTAAAGCGAAAGACAAAAACAGCACAAATATGTACAGTAGTCTGGACATGTCATCTGGTGTTTCCATATAAAATCTAAATCCTATAATTCTTTAAAAGAATATATATACAAACCAAGAACAGTGTATGCTGAGAAATGAGAGTTGAAACAGTTTTGGCCAAATCTTAAAGGGATCTCAGACTTATTGCACATATTGGTCTTAATGTGATATCACTTCTCTTTTCTACTAAAAGTTTTTGTTGTTTGTGACACGTGAAAACTCTTAATTACTTAAAAAAATTATGCACACCTACTACATTTTTCACAAATGAATTTCAACATAATTTTACTGCCGCAATGCATTCTGGGATGACGGAAATCACTTGTAGTGGAGACAAAAACAAAAGGAGTCAAGGCTAAAAAGGTTATAACGTGAAAACAGTTTTATTTTATATTAGCACTTGAGCACTAAATATGGGTCCAAACGATCAAACGTAATCAACTTGTGATGTTTAATTTATTAGCTCTGGAGCTAACACTACATATATTAGCTTCAGAGCTAACACTACATATAT